CTGTATGATTACACACCATGCCTTGGTTGATGCTCACACCCGACATCAATACCGGCACCGCACCTAATTAGATCCCTCCCATATCCAAATCTATCCCTGTATGTGCATCATTTTGGAAATGGGAAGCTCTTGAAAGGGCAATGATTGGTGATTGTTGGGAACGAACCCAACCGAATGTCGTTTATATATCAAATAATAATCACCACGTCATTACACTTTATTTACTCTCAAATTTAGTTTATTCTAAGCAGTACATCATGACAAATATCTTGTACATATCAAATATCCATGCATCATTCTGTCCTCGATTCTGTCCGTATTTCGACTAATATCGGTCGTAAACAAAGGTTTGCTACATAAAATTACAAATAACGTTCATTAACAACAAGTTCAAGTGTTTCAAAGTCAAAATGAAAGAAATACTTACATCTTATGGCGATTTTAAAGCAGATTACGTTTGTATATCTATCACGAATATCAATAGTTTTCCAAAAAACCTCGCTCGCGAAGACTGGCCCTAAATTAATTATGCTAATATCAACAAACGGCGCGAAATAATTAGATTAATTATAGTAGCGTCCGTAACATCCCGGCCCCCCAATGAGCGTATCACGTTAGCTCATTTATCACCTTTATTCGTCAGCCTCCAGGAAGCACAACTTCTGAATTGGACGTTTCAAAACATTGTTTTTCGTTTTCACTTCGGCGACTCTGACAAGACCATCCTTTCCAGGAAACACCTTCGTCACTCTTCCAAGTAGCCAATGTCCTCGTTGAAGTTTCTCGTCTACCAGGAGTACAAGATCACCAACTGCTAAATTTCGTTGTGGTGTAAGCCATTTTTGTCTTTGTTGTAAAGTTGGTAGATACTCATGTAACCACCGTTTCCAAAAATGATCGCTCAAAATTTGTGATTGTCTCCAACTCTTTCTGCTATACAAATCAGCATCGTCAAATTTTCCAGGAGGTAGAGTAATCGCTGGTCTTTGAAGTAACAGATGATTCGGAGTTAACGGCTCCATGTCCCGAGGATCGTCCGAGTTCGGGCACAGAGGTCTGGAATTGGCAATCCCTTGGGCTTTTGATAACACCGTTCTCAAGACTTCCTCTTTAACTAATGTCTTTCCTAGGATAGCCTTCAACGATTGTTTAACACCACGAATCAGTCTCTCCCACACTCCCGACATATGGGACGCTAATGGCGGGTGGAAAATCCATTCTACTCCGGTTTGTCTTAAATGCCCTTCAATCTGATTTTGATTCCACCTTTCTAAAGCTTCACGTAAC